TTGTTTGGTCATAATGCTTTACATTTTATTCCTTTTTTTTTTTAATAGGTAAAATCTTTGGATGAGGAGAAATTTCATTTTTGGTTTAGAACCCTTGTATTCCTTTTGTTGTTGGGAGTAACACAGGTATGGCTTCTGTGCAGCAGACAAGGAAACCTTGCTGGCAGCAGAGTATCTACAGCACAGCAGTCATTGTGACAAATGTAGGTGTTCTGTTACAGACAACTGGTGTTTGTAATCCCAAATAGGGTAGAGGTCCTTTTAGATGCCCCTTAAGCTATAACTGCTCGACAGTTTTGGTAATTGCAAATTGCCTCATTTAATTTGGTTTAGGCTTTTGTGAAATAGGGAGGCATAAACATATATGGTTTCCCAAGACTCCATTTCACCTGTTTCAGGCAGGATAATTTTCAGTAGAGTAAAACAGAGTAACCCATAACCCACATAACGCTGCAGACAGCAGGCAGAGCTCTGTGCTGGAAGACACCACAGTCAGGTAAAGTTTCACATGGAGAAGTTTACATGTCCTTCCAGGTGGTGTATACCTTATGTCTTTAACCAGGAAAACCATTGCTTTTCTTCTCACTTAAGGCAATTATATGGAGTATTCTAATGTATATAACATCTTAAGTGTAATCTTTGTAAGTGACTGAATTCAGCGAAGGAATTCAACTGGAAATTAGCCTGAGGCAAAGAGTTCCATGGGTTAATTATGCAGCATTCCTTCTATCTCTTCTAAATCAATTGCCTCTTGATTTCAATGTCTGTCCCCTTAAGAGGGTGAGAAGGATCTAATTGCCTCCCTCTGGACCACTTGTTACTGCCTATCCCTGTGAAATTCACTTTTATGAGCCTGTGCCGTATTTGCAATTTAACTGGATCAAAACTCTTTCCTTCCCCCCACTTGTTAATTATTTTGTCATCGCCTCAGATTATTTCTTATACATTTCCTGACAAGATGTCCTAAACAGAATGCTGTATTACTGGTAAAAGTACAGACCAGGCTGATACAACAGGGTTTTATGTTTGTGGGGTTTTTCGAGTTTTTTGTCCCGCACAATTTACATAAAATTTACCTTTCTTCTTTGCACTGAGGGTACTAGAGAAACAATTATTTTTTTCAATGGTACTGACAAGAACTACCTTTGCCAAAGCAGGATTTAGTATAATAACATCATATCCTTGCATTACTACTAGCTCCAGGTAAAGATGAATTAATTCAAACATAAAAAGGGATGTAGCTTCTGGAGAAGGGGGACTAACAACAGTATTCTGACATCTGTTAAACACGGTGTTTCAGCCCACCTGAGATATATAACATTATATATCTTGGAGAAGAACACAGAAATTAAAAGTCCATATATGCTCCTCAGCCTAAAGTTTCAACAGCCTTTACTTGGTATTGGCTTTTTAGGGCTCCCACAGTTCTTTCCAAAACACGGAGGTCTGAGAGAGGGTTCTGCAACCATTCCTTACTGCTGGGGCATGTGAAGTGCTTGTGTGGTTACTATTCCAATTGTCTTACGACATTCAAGCTTTGCCCCAAACTTCCCCTTGTCTCTCTGACAAAGCTAAGAACCTGTAAAAATGAGAAATAACCAAGGTTTAGCACCATAACAACTGAAGCTAATCTAAAACTGTATTGCTTATTTTGCAATCTTCTTGCACTCATTTAGCAGTCCTGTGAAAAAGGCCAATATTCATTTAATTGAAAACGAACCTGCCAACTCTTTCATCTGGTTTGGCCCAGTTCAGGTCTCAGATGTAGGAATAGGAATTGAGAAACATGAATGCCAGGCAAGGGGTGACCTGGGGAATTGAGTGCAGGATTACAGCAGCCCAGAATAACATTATTTTAAACTCAAGGGAATTTGATCTTCAGCATCTGGAACAAATTCTGATCCTACAAAGGTCAGTGGAAACAGAATTTTGTACCAATTCTTAAAATGTTTTATTTTTGTATGTTGAATTATCATGTTGTCATAGTATTTTTATGAAGATAGTAACTCAAGCTATTGTATTTTTTAGCTTTCAATGTATTTCAGTATACCAGGGTCAGAAATTATTCATCACAGTTTGTCTTTTATCATTGAATTGATGATCAGCATTCTGACACTGACTCCACACAAATCTGGCTAGAACTAAAATTAAGTGTTAGGTGTTAAAAAAGTACTTATATTGCTGGTATTTGTAATAAATATTTTATTAAATATATATATAATTTCTAAAGAACCTACATATTCACAATTGGTGCATTATAAAATGTCATAATAGCAGCAGTTATGGATGTGTAAGATTAATTCTCATTTCAAACTCCTTGTACCATTTCTGTTTGACTATCTGGGGGTAGATTTCACCATTTAGACTTCAAAACAGGGAAAAACAATTGCTGCAGCCTGGGAGAAAAAAAAAAACAAAAACAAAAAACCAAAATCACAGCATAAAGACCTATTTTTCTTAAATTCCTTTTAGAAAATCTGATGGCTACTCAGGATCAGACAAAACTTGTATATAAATGCAATGCTATGCTAAGTGATGTGGAAATACCAAAAGACTGTGAAATACTTTCTAAGGAGCTGTTAACACGTGCCTCAGGCTATACTGCTGAGTTGCAAATTTAAGGGGCGTGTTTTCATCAGTATTCAAGTCACCTCTTAGTCAGCAAAGAAGAACGGTAAAAGCTAAAAAACCGTGAAAAGTTGCTATGAATTTAAGAAATTCCATGTGCTGAGAGCTTGGCTAACGCTCTGAAGTGCAACTGTAAGTTCACACATCTCCCTTATATAAACTTGCATTTTTTCTGGCCCAGAGCCTTAGGCATAACTTTAGTATTCAGCTCCCAATATGTGAACATCTTTGATATCACTTTAATAGTAAATACCTACAGGCCTGGAGAATGGAACCTTCTGGAATAGAAATCAATCATTACATGTTTCACAAGCCATATATGTATCTCTGATCCACCAGGTAAATAATAAGAAGAAAACAATAATATGAGCATTCTCCAAATCAACTTCTGTATGATGTCCATGACATCACTATGTAATCACTGCTACGAAAATGAAGCACTCTTGAAAAAGATGCAGAGGAACCAGGTTTTCCAAATAACTGGTAAATGTCTTAATGCAAGTCCAGTGGCAGGCCAAGGATAGCAGATTTTTTCATCTCCTCAGGAACATCAATGCCAAGTGGCATTGCAGAGATATCCCAACTCAGTCATTCAAGAGAAGAGCTGTAGGGCATCTGGGAGCAGTAACTTCAACTATTCCTAATAAATCTGCAGCCAATAGGAGCCTGCTGTGGTTCCCCAAGAGGCTTAGCACTTGCAACTTGAGCTTGCTGAAGATCTCTGTTCAAAAAAACCCAAGACTAAAAGCACAAGGACTATTGTGGAACTGAGAAAAAATTGCTAAGGCTTGCTAACCAAGTAATTAAAAATGCTTTGTCTTTTGCATGAAATATTAATAATAAATGATAGATACATAAAGATTCATGTATTTCTGAAATATACAAAGAGGTAAAAAAAAACCCAAACTGGTTTCATATGGGCAACTTCATTTTTAATGGGCAGACAGCAATTTTTGAAGGAAAATACAGCTCTTTGAACACTGAGTAAGGGGAAAATCAAAATACATTTAACACAGAAGTGAAAAATACAGAAACCTCTTGCAACAATCCCAGTGTAGCTGAGTGCAGCCTGAGAAATTCCAGCATCCTTTCATTCTGAAGTGCTTACCTCTCTCTCTCTGCATGAAAGGCTTTACACCCCTGCACTGCAATACTGATTCTTCCTGCATTTGAGAATCCAAAGCTCTTCCCCAACCTGTTCTCCCAGCCCCCAAAGAAGAATCCCACAGGGCTCTCCTATGCCTGTTTTACAGGTCAGTGAGCCAAGAGCACACCAAAAGCTTTGCTCTTTTTATATTCTGTATTCATATGATGGGCAAGGCAGTCCTGTCATACCCATCCATCCTGATGCTTTTTCCCTGTTTTACACGAAAAACTCACTCACTTTACAAGTGAAACAAGTTAAAAGGACAAAAGCACAAAGTAGCACATATTCCAGGGGTTTCTGCCAATTAGATACAAACATTTTGCCTTGCTGCATCCTGCAGAGCTGATCATACACGTGATTTATATTAATAGCATTGGAAGGAAAATTAAATTTATCCAAAGTTATATAGGAAACACAAAGGGCTGTGGTTCAGCTTAACCTAAACAGACATCCAACTTGGCCTCAGGGGAAAACTCAGGTGACAAATTAGCAGTTTGTAAAGTACCTCAGCAGCATGTGGAGTTGAATGGCATAAGACCGTAGGATATTATAACTGTAAATATGTAAGGGATGAAGATAAGACTGATCTTAAAGGAAATACTGACTCTGGGCAGGAATTGCCTTCCCAAGCGCCCCGTGAGAGGAGGAACTCGGGGACCTGCACAGCCTCTCTCGTAGGTGACTACAGCGACTCAATCCCTGCTGGTGAGGACGACGGTTCCCAGCCAAACCAAAGCTCTGTGGCCGCAGTAGCGCAGGGCACATTCCGGCCGGGGCCGAGCCCGCACAGGGGCCGCGTTCAGGGCGAGAGCCACGGTGCAGAGCGGCGCCGGGAAAGAGCCGGCAGCGGCCGCGGAGGGGCTCGCCCCGGGCTGTTCCTCTGCACACCCGCGGAGCCTGCCCCTGCCGCCGCGCCCGTCCCGCCGGGATCCCCGCGGATGTCCCCACGGATGTCC